TGCTGGCCCGCCAGCGCGGCGGCTCCTCCTGAGCTCTTTGCCGACGGCCTCCTCCGAACGGCCTGGCCCTCCTCTGGCGGCGCCGTGGCAGGCTTCGACGCCTTGGGCCGCGGCGTCTCAGCTGGCGTCGGCACCTGCCTCTTGCGGCTCTGCCTCGTCTTCACCTCGGTGATCGCGGGCTCCTCGTCTCCCTCAGGGCCGTTCCGACCTTCTTCTTCGGACTCTTCCTCCTCCTCCTCATCCTCGCCCTCATCTTCGTCGCCCTGGCCCTTCTCCTCAGCCTCGCTGCCGTTGCCCTCGCTGGCGTCGTCTGCTCCTGCGGCGCTGCCCTCCTCCTCCTCCTCCTCCTCCTCCTCCTCCTCCTCCTCCTCCTTCTTTACTTTGTCGTCCTCCTCCTCTTCCTCCTCCTTCTTTACCTCGCCGTCCTTCTCGGCACCTCCTCGCGAAGCCTCAGCCGCAGCAGGTCTCTTCTGAGCTGCGCCTGGCCTCTTGAGAACTGCAGCACCTTTCGCCCTGTTCGTTTTCAGGTGCTCCTTTTTGGCCTCCTCCGCCGCCGCCTTGTCAAGCGTGCCATCGTGGAGATCGGCGAGGATCTTCAGCATGCAGGTCTTCGCGTCCTCGAGCCTCTCGTACCCTGACATCTGCATGAACTGCTCGAAACGCTTGCCCCCAGGCTGCATGCGCCAGACCACCAGCCACGATCCACGCTTGGCGTGATTCACCAAGCGCAACGACCAACGCACCCTGCCGTTGTCGCCGTGAATATCACGCAGCGTGAATTGGCCAATGGCTGCCCTCTGCAACGCAGCCTCCTCCTCGGCGCTGCTGCCGATGACCTTCCAGCTTGCGCCGCAGGGCCAGGTCGCGATCAGCAGCTCCTCGCCTGCGACCACCTTCGCAGGCGTGTACTCGGGCAGCGCAGACTTGGCCGAGCCCTTCTTGATCCTCCAGGCGGCCTGCGGCTACGATAGACTCTCTCCTCTCCTCCTTTGCGTCCTCGATCATCCCTCTCCTCCGCCTCCTCCTCCTCCTCCTCCTTCTCCTCCTTCTCCTCCTCCTCCTCGTCATCATCCTCCTCTTGCTCCTGCTCCTGCTCCTGCTCCTGCTCCTCCTCCTCCTCCTCCTCTTGATCCTCCTCCTCCTCCCCCTCCTCATCTTCCTCCTCCTCTTCCTCCTCAACCCCCTTTTCCTCACCCCCCTTTTCCATCTGATCTCCTCTCCCGTATCCTACCTCACATCATTGTTCTCTCCCCCATCTGCTCTTTCTCGAGACTCTCCGTTGTTCCTCGTCATCGTCGCATTCATCCTCCTCATCCTCCTTCTCCTCCTCCTCATTCTCCTCCTCCTCCTCCTCCTCTCCTCTTCCGCTCATCCCCCCCTCTCTCGCCCTCCCCCATTGGCCTTCATCGACTCGTCGTAGCCGAACTGCCACTCCCCGACCTCCTCGAGAATCGGAAGCGCGCGCTCGTCCTTGGCGGCCATCTTGGGCCGCTGCTGCTGCTGGTGCTCCTCCTGCTGGTCTTCCTCCTCCAGGAACGCCGCGGCCCACTTTGGCGGCCTGACAGTGGGTTTTGAAAATCTACCCCCTCGATTCCCTCTCCCAGGAGAGGGGTTCGGGCGGGTGCGATCGGGACGGCAGAGGACAGGGAAGAGGATAGCTGGAGGTTGAGCTGAGCTGGAAATTGAGAGAAACTGACATCCTCTCTCCTCCTCCTTCCTCCTACCTCTCCTCCCTCCTCCTCCCTCTCCCCCCTCATCCCCCCTCTCCTCTCTCCCCCTTTCGTCCTACCGTCTCCTCCCCTCCCTGCATTTGAACCCCATGCGCCTCCTCCCCTCGCGGCGTCAGCGCGTCCCTCACGTGACTGAGCATCGCGCGAACCCTGCGGCTGCGCGAAACTGCCCAGTGCCCCACTTCGTTGGCGAGGTGCCATTCGCTCTCCTTGGAGCGGGCGATCGCCAACAGCGCTGCCTTCGCTGCGGGGGTGGGACTCCTCCACTTTCCTGTTCCTCCTCCTCTCCTACCCCTCCTCCTGCCTCCTCATCCCTCCTCCCGCTCCTCATCCCTCCTCCCACTCCTCATCCCTCCTCCCACTCCTCATCCTCCCTCCCCCTTCTCCTCCTCCCCTCCTCCCCCTCCTCCTCCTCCTCCTGCCCCTCCTCCTCCTTCCCCTCCTCCCTCCTCCCTCCCTCCCCCTCCTCCTCCTCCTGCCCCTCCTCCTCCTCCTCCTCCTCCTCCTGTTCCTCCTCCTCCTCCTCCTCCTCCTCCTCATCCTTGCCGTTCGAGCCTTGGCCGCCTCCTGGTTCACGTTGGACCTCCCCAGGGCGCGCGTGGCCCTGAGGAGGTCGGCGTGATGTGCGATCACCTTGTGATCTTTCTGGCCAGTGACCTTCTCTGCGTAGTCCAACGCGTTGAACACGTTGGCGAAGGGGGCCCAGACCTCCTGGAGCTTCGCCGCGTTGTTGAAGCAGCTCTCCCTCGGCTCCGTGGCGGACTCCGCCTCCAATGGATTCCATCGCATTTCCAACGCGTTTCCAACGCGCTGGAAATGCGAGGCGCTAAAGGGGTTCACCGGAGCTCGAGCGACAGCGCCCTCCTCCTCCTCCTCCTCCTCCTCCTCCTCCACCTTCTCCTCCTCCTCCTCCTCCTCCTCCTCCTCCTTGTCCTCCTCTCCTGCTCATCGCCTCCTCAGCCTCCCTCTCCCCTCCTCTTCTCCTCCTCCTCCTCCTCCTTCTCCTCCTCTTTCCTGGTTCCCACCGGCTCTCCTCTTACCATTGTTGTTATTTTCAGAAGATCCGATGGCCTCAGAGGTACTCTAACTCGTCGCGGGGGTCGTTTGGCCCAACGACCAAAACATCAAAATCGCTGACCTAGGATAGAGGAAAAGAAAAGACGTTGCCATCGTGATCAAAAACATGTTTTCTACCCCTCGTACAATTTGTTGTCGAAGAAAACGGTGCGTACGTTCCTGATCACGATGGCAACGATTTCTCTTTTCCTCCAGGCCCGAGAGCAACTGCGCCAACACTTACCCACAGGAATCCGATGCTGCTCAGGCGTAGTAGCCTGGTGATCCAGGAGATTTCACGTTTTCGTTGTTTCTGTTGTTTTGTGCGTTAGGTTTGGGGGGGGGAAGCCTATCAAACTAGTGGGTGATAGGTAATGCACGCTTTCCAATGCCCGTGCCTCGCGCTTCGGCGGCGGCATGCGCCTGCTCCGCCTGCGCCTCCGCCTGTGCCTCCTCCGCCTGCGCCTCCTCCGTGCGCGTCCTGGCGCCGCCTGCGCCGCGTGCCGCCTCCTGGCGCCGACCTCCTGGCGCCGCCTGCCGCCTCCTGCCGCCTCCTGGCGCCGCCTGCCGCCTCCTGGCGCCGCCTGCCGCCTCCTGGCGCCGCCTGCCGCCTCTGCGCCGCCTGCCGCCTCTGCGCCGCCTGCCGCCTGCGCCGCCTCGGCGCCTCTGGCCTCCTCGAGGCCTCCTCGCCGCGCCGCTGCGGCGCCGCGGCCGCGCGCGCGGGCGCGGCGGAAGCCAAACGGCAGCGGCAGAAGGCAAGATCAGCAATCGAACAAAAAGTACAAACACATACAAAAACATATGTTATGTAAGCAATATCATGCAAATATCTTGCGCAACTCAAGGCAAATGCAACACAATGCATTAATTAATAAACAACTGCAGTGCACTTGTTTTTTTCAAGTCAAACGCTGCACTTGAGAAAATGAAGGATCTGGACCAGAGGGGCAGGAAGATGGGATCCGGGGGTCTTGTCGCGATGTTCTGCGATATTGCATTTTTTGTTTCGCAACGTCGGATCTCAGGGTAGGTCGGGGAGGAACTCCTCCCAGGCATGTAACGTCCTCAGCACATCGGGGATGGCATGCTTCTATATTTTCGGCCTCTGCGGGCCCTCACTGGGCCCCAGGACCGTCAGGAGACGACTCGCGATGAGACACCAGGTTCCGGACTTCCAGGGACTGCGTATTGCAAAATCAAAACATGGCAAGTCTGGGCTGGGAAGCCTTCGAAAGAAGGGTTGAGGGCTACGAATCCCGATTAGGGGGCCTCTCAGCCCTCAGCTGGAGGCCAAGATAAAATCCCGGGATCAGGCCAGATTAAACACGATTGCGCGGAATTCAACGTGGCTACGTCGGATTATGAGCCGGTTTTCGGCCACGGATTTACGAGCACCGATGCTGAATTCAACCTCCCCAGAGTTGCATTCTATAACGAAGGGGACGCCGGGAACGCAAGGGGGGGAACCGACCCAGGGGGAGAAGCATCTATCTGGACCAAGCGATACACCGCCGATAGATCGGCGATACAGTCAGCTTGTATCGTAAGAATGCGCAGTAAGGATGCAAGGGCCTTGGACGGCCATGTGAACGTTTTTCGAACGAGGTGGGCCAACGAAAGTGGCCAAAGATGGACCGAGTAGGTAAGGATGCAAGGGCACTCTTGGGAAGATTGCCCATCCTTACTATGCGGGTTGACTGCAAACTCCCGTTTTCGAAACCGCACGTTCCTGGGCGTGGTGAGCTACCTGGCCACTGTCAGCGATGAGTTGGCGATTGCTGATCGGTGCATCCTCCTCTAACCCTATTCCCCCCTGACGTTGCCCCTGATGGCGAGCGACGAGATGGGGGGCGGCGGTCTTGATCTTACAGTGTGTGGGGGGGCATCTTTTTGGGCGTCTTGCCTCTGGGGGTCTTCTCGTCGTCGCGGCTGGACTCCCGAAGAGGTTCTGGCCAAAACGCGCCCCAGGACGGGTCACGGGGTGGGCTCCTCCAGAGACAGGGAGGAGGGGGGACCGGCTCTCCAGGGGCGGAACATTACCGACAGGGATTCGAAGGCACATCGCCGATAGATCGGTGGCAAGTCCCCGACAACGACACCGATCGCCTAAGGCAGGGTACGGTATCCAAGCCTCGATCGGTGATCCACGGGCGACTGCAGTAGGGGTCGAGGCTTCCGCCCAGAGCCAAGCCCCCTTGCCCGCGCCCCGGAGGCCTCCCCCATCCTCAGGAGCCACTTCTTGGACTTGTCGAGCTCGCCAGCGCGGGAGCACCGGCTGATGAGGCTCGTGAAGGAGCCAGGGCACGGAGTCAGGCCGTCGTTCAGCGCCTCTTCCATCCAGCGCTCCGCCCTCGCAATGTGTCCCGCGTGGGCGCAGGCCTGGATCAGGGAATCGTAGCAGAACTGGCTGGGGGGCTCCCCAGCTGCCCTCATGGCAATGAGCAACGCCTCAGCTCGCGGCAACTCGTTGGCCTTCACGCACCCGTGGATCACCGTGCTGAAACTCACAATGTCTGGGTTGACGCCCCGCCGCTGCATCTCCGTCAGCCACTTCTCGGCGCCGAGAAAGTCGCCGGCCTTCGCACAAGCGTTTATCACAGAGTTGTAGGTGAGGACGCACGGCTGGAGACCGATGTCTTGCATCTTGCTCAGCCACTCCTCTGCGCGCGATCCGTCTCCTGCACGTGCGCAAGCGTTGATTAAACAATTATACGTGACCACGTTGCCCTGAACGCCCGCCCCCTGCATGCGCGCCATCCAGCCCTCGGCTCGGCGGAGGTCGCTGCTCTTGGCGCATGCGTGGATCAGCGTGGAGTAGCTGATCACATCAGCCTCGACGCCCATCCCGAGCATCTGCTCGAGCCACCGCTCAGCTCTGCTTGTTTCTCCCTGCTTGGCGCATGCGCCGATGAGGCAGTTGTACATGGAATTCGTCGGGGCGACGCCCGCATCCTGCATTCTCTGGATCACATCCTCGATGCCCGACACGTGGCCGACTTTCACGAGCGCGTGTACCAACATGCCGTAGATCTTGGTGCCGGCCTGAAGACCAGCTTTCTCCATCGCGAGAAGCCACGAGTTGGCCTTCGTGGTGTTGCCGACTCGCAGGTAGGCATCAATGGTCGTGGTGTAGCTCACCGTGTCAGGCTGCACGGCTCCCTCGCTGATCACGTAGCTCAGCCAGCTCTCCGCGCGGGCGGCCTCCTTGGCCCTGGCGCAAGTGCCGATGATGGCGTTGAAGGTCACAATGTCTGGCTCCACGCCTGCCTCGATCATCTTGTTGTACCACGTCTCCGAGCCGTCCACATCGCCGCTGCGCGAGAAGGCTTTGATCATGGTGTTGAAGCTGACCCTGTCGGGGAGGACGCCGTCCTGGCGCATCTCCTCGATGCACCGTACGGCGCCCTCGATGTCGGACTTCCGTGCATACAGATTGAGCAAGAGGTTGTAGCTCATCGTGTTGGGCCTGTCTCCTCTCGCGCGCATGTCCGCGAAACAGGTGCTCGCCCTGTCCGCATCACCAGCGCGGTTGCAGGCGCCCAGGTACATGTTGTAGCTCGTCACGTCCAGGGCGACCCCATCCCGCACCATGCGCTGAAGCCAGCCCTCTGCTGCAACCACGTCACCCTTCTTGGACAAGATGTCCAGGATGGTGCCGTACGTGTTCACCGTCGGCTGAATACCCTCGGCGACCATGCGCTCGACCCACACCGCGGCGCGCTCGTCGTCCCCGGCTCGGGCGCACGAGTGGATCACCGTGTTGTAGCAGATTGCGTTCGGCTCCACGCCGTCGCTTCGCATGCGCTCCAGCCACGCCTCCGCGCGGGCCGTCTCCCCAGCCTTGCCGCACGCGTGGATGACCGAGCAGTAGCTGACAACGTTCGGGGTCACCGAGGACTCCCACATGGCCTGCAACCACCTTTCCGCCCTGCCCGGATCGCCCGCCCTGGCACAAGCGTCGATGACGGCGTTGTAGCCCATGTCGTCTGGCTCGAGGCCTAGCATGGGCATTCTGAGCAGCAACTGCTCAGCCCTCTGGAAGTCCCCCGCCTTCGCGTGGGCACTGATGGTGATGTTGACGCAGATGGTGTTGGGCTTCCCGACGCCCGACTTGATAAGCTCGTTCAGCCAACGCTCTGCGCCCATGGCGTCGCCCGCCTTCGCATATGCGCTGATCAGCGCGCCGTATCCGACCACCGGAATCTGCGTGCCCTTGGCCGTCAGGGAGATTGCGATGGCTTCGGCCGTGGCCGCGTCGCCCACCTTCGCAGCCGCGTGCAGCCGCAAAAGGCTGCTGTGCACCGCCGACGAGGCGAGGGCGTCTGCTGGGGCGGTGCCGATGTCGACCGTGAAATCCCTCTCGGGGGGCCCCAGGGCTGGGAGGTGGCCGGAGCCCTCCGACAAAGCACGGGCGGCGGCGTCCTCTGGGCGCGCGGCGTGCGCCGCGGAAGCGCCTGGGGAGTGGCTGCTGCTGCCGCCGCCGCTGCTGCTGCTGCTGCCGGGCCGCTGCTGCTGCTGCTGCTGCAGCTTGCGAGGCTGCCGCTGCTGCTGCCGCGACGGCGCTTGTGCGGCCAGGCGCTCGCCGCGCTCAGTGGATTCTCCGCCCCGCGGCGAGGTCGAGGACGAGGCCCTCTTGCGGCCAGCGGGCGGCAGCGCCTTCTCGCTGCTGCCCCTGGCCGACAGGTACATGTAGAGGGGCACGATGCAGAGCAAGGCCGAACATTCCCAGAGCTCCCCCAGGCCCATGGCCTTGTTGCCGTGGCCGCTCAGCGGATCGCCCGTGGCATCGCTCGAGAAGTTGCTCGTGGAATTGTGGAGGAGGCAGTCCGCGTCCTCCTTGGTGAGCGCCCCCCGCGGCTGAGGCCCTGGGGACGGATTCAGGTAGAACTCGATGACCGCCAGCAGGAGTATGGCGACCACCACGCACCATATTTTCCTCCACACTGAAGAGGGCCTTGACTTCTTTGACGGGAAAGAAGAATAAGTAGAAGTAATGGGTGGGCCGAAGAACATGGCCATGAGTCGACTGTAAATGTAAACGGTGGTGAGTGACCAGTCCTGGTCGATCAGACTTTCGTGTTGTGTAGTTTTGATTCGTCCGAGTGTGGGCGCTCTCGAGTGTTCTTGATTGAACCCAAGGTGGCTGCTGGAGGATGAGGAAGGGCACTATGATAACGAGAAGGATCGAGGAGGGGGGGGCAAGGAGGAGACGGAGGGCGGGGGGGGGAATAGAGACCTCCTAGATGGGGTCCGAACAGATGAGGTCGGAAGATTGTACCGCACCGTCAATGCATGGGCGTTGCATCGGCGATACATCGGCGATACATCGGTGATGCATCGGCGACGTCGGCGATGCATCGGCGCCGTCGCAATGAGGAAACTCGGGCTCCGCATCGAGCAGCATCGCCGATCCACCGGCGATGCGGACCGAGCCTTCGACCCCAACTCCAGCCGAACATATGATCAAGAAACTCATCGTTTAAGAAATCTGGGCCAGCTTCCCGGAAGGTGCTGCAAAACAGACCTGGGCTAACCTCTGCTGTTCACGCTGGAAGGGCGAAAGTGCTCAAGAAGCTGGGCCGGCGCTCCCGCAAGCTGGTGAAGAAACGCAGGCCCAGACTTTCGGAGGGAGGCTCCTCGATCAGCTGCTCGACTGCACTCCGACCCCACCAGGGAGGCCTCGATGGCAGGACCGTCGGCACGGGCGGCGGGGAGGACGAGGGCGCCTGGGGCGCCCCTCTGGGTGCCTTGAAGCCTCGCGCCACGGAGTGCCCCGTGACGCCCCGCTCTCCGGTCGCCCAGGGGCCGTATACAGAGCATCGGGGGCCCCCCAACGGTGCGGGGACCGCCCTGTGTGTCAGAGGCGCTCCAGACTGAGCGGGCCGTTCCGTGAACCCGGGCTGTCCTCCGAGGGAATCGGCCACGCGCAAGAGCGACCTCTGGGTAACGAGAGTGACCTCCGGTGCGTGGCCTGTGGGGGGGGGGGCCAAACACAAGCGCGCAGTACGCTGCTATCGCATCGCGTGCGGCAATCGGGGGACCCCAACAGGCCCGCACCAAAGGTCACTCCGGCGAAGGGTCACTCTTACGTCTAGTCGAGGGAATATCTCGAGCGCCTGGGACCTCCAGCATCCCAAACCCAGCCGGTCAAGGACCGTCTGGCGATGCCTCCTGGGCTTCGAAACCATCGGGCGGCTTGACACACCGTTTCCGAGCGATAAACCGGCCGCGCCCGAAGAGGACGATAACACCCCTGGGAGCTGACGTCACAGAACGTCCGAGGAGAAGTCGTGCCCCACTTCCCCGCTTTCTCTCGCCGAGCGCCGCCGATGTCGAGAGAGTCGCTGTCTGCGCGCCAGTGGAAAAAACAACAACACTTCTCTCTTGTGTCGCGGCGCTGGCGATCGCTCAGAGCACGGGAGGGCCCAGTTAGCTCGGGTCGCGAGGAGGCAATCTTTGATAGCGAGGGCGCGGGTCAAGAGGAGGGCTGGGGAAGATCAGCACGCCGGCCCCAGCGAAGGAGGGGCAGGGGGAGGGCTACGCTGGGCGCCGCGCAGCGCTCCAAGGCCGGGCGGGCGACGCTGCAGCTTCCTTGCGCATGTGAGTCTGCCCCCAGGGGGCTGGCTGTCCTGGTTCTGTGCGAGGCTTGACATACGTGTGCGAGCGCGCAGCTGGACTTGCTCCGCTCTGGAATCAGAATCCTCTGCGTCCGCCGCTTGGGTCCATGAGGGGAAGGAACACGGCGCAGCCATGGAGGGTGGGCGATGGTAAGTACAGGAGAGGCAGTATCGAACAAATCATCTGGGCAGCCTAGGCACCACCAGACAACAGCACGGGCCAAGAACGACCCACGCGCGCGTCCGATGGGCCGTGACCCGCCATCCCGAAACCGTTGCTCCACAGACCCACGAGCAGCGAACATACCCATTCGGACGGGTGGCAGTGGGCGGTGACCCAAGGGGGACAAAAAGAACAGGGCCCCTTTGGGGCCCTTTTCTTCACCCCCCATTTTGGGTCAGCCCCCCACCACCACTCGCCCGACATGCGCGCCCTGAAAGTGTGCATCCCAGCTCGCGATCCCGTCGATGCGCGGCCGCGTGGGTGCGCTCCACGCGGGGGCATCCGCGAAGACACGGCCCTGCGCCCGCGAGGCCGCGGCCCCGGGGGCCCGGCCCGCGCAGCCATGGATGTGAGCGTGTCCCCGTCCACGGCGTGTTCCGTTGTCCAGCTGAATCCTCAGGGCCCCGTAGGCCCGGACACGCCAGACCGGGACATCCGACGTCCCTCGAAGCCGTTTGCTCCAGACGGCGGCGCGGAGCAGAAACTGCACTGCAGCATTCCTGGAAGGAACCGGGGCACAAGCCCGCAGAGCATGCCCCCCCCCCCCAGGCCTGAACAAAGACCCGGATCCTGCAGAGCAGCAACAAAAACCTGTGCTTTCCCCCCGCCCGAAAGGCTGGGGCTGTTAGACCTGGCCCGGCACAGAAACGGAAAGAGCGCTTCAGAAACAGAAACCGAAATTACTCACACCACCGTTCGTACTGGGAGCCTTGGCGTTGAGAGCTTGTTACGTCACCCCTCACTCTTGGGAGCCTTGGTGTTCAGAGATTGTTGCGTTGCCGCCCGTTCCTGAGCCTTGGCTGGGCCTTGGTGTCAGGAACTTGTTACGTCACCGCTCTCTGCTGGGAGCCTTGGTCTTAGCAGCTTGTTGACGTCACCGTTCGCTCTTGGGAGCCTTGGTGTGAAGAGCTTTTTGCGTTACCGATCGCACTCTATTTGGCGTCTCTGAGCCTTCATGAGAGTCCAGTTGAGGCCCTTTTGGAGCCCTTTTGGAGGCCTCTTGGGACGCCTCTTGGGGGCCTCTTGGGGCGTCTTGGGGGGGTTTGGGGGCCTCCTGGGAGCTTCCTGGGGCGAAAGGCTAAACTTTTCGGTTCTTGGTCCCCCTCTTGGGGCCGTCTTGGCGCCCTCTTGGGCCGTCTTGGGCGCCTCTTGGGCCGTCTTGGCGCCCTCTTGGGCCGTTTTGGGGGCCTCTTGGGAGCCTCTTAGGCCGTCTTCGGGCGGTCTTGGGGGCCTCTTGGAGCGTCTTCAACGCAGTGAAAGCCGAAAAGCCTTGTATGCTAAAAATGTACCTCCACCCATAGGAAATCAATGATTTGATCGCTTTATTTTGCCAGTGGCTCAGACTGCTTGAGGATTCGAACGAAGCACGGGCAAGCTAGGCTGGCTAGTGCGACATAGATCTGCTCAAGGTGCCACTAAAAGGAGGCATTGGGCTGGCGTGGGCCGAAAGAAGTGCCTTGAGCGAGAAGGCGACAGACATTAGCAATCATTCTCGTGCATCACTTACATGTTCGTTTTATTTTGCCAGTGGCTCAGACTGCTTGAGGATTCGAACGAAGCACGGGCAAGCTAGGCTGGCTAGTGCGACACAGATCTGCCATACTTCAACCTGAAATAGAATCCATCACTCAAGCATTGTGCTGGGGCTTAGCCCCGCATTCGTTTCCATCTTTCGGTGGACTGCTGTGCTATACAGGATCTGTGCAGCGTGTCAGCCAGGAGTGCGCAAAGAGCGGGGGGATAGGCGCTTTTGAGACGGGTGAAAAAGCCACCCCCAGAAAGACAACCGGAGAGCTCCAGGTGGGGCTTGCCGGTAAAGGAGCAAATTCATCTGCCTTTGCATACTACCTTATCAAGACCAGGGTGTGGGCTGCACTTCCAGAACCTTATCCGAGTGCGAGCACGAAAGGGGCGACCGCAGGCACAGTAATCGACAACCCTATCACAGACATAGGGAAGGTTAGCAAAGGAGCGGCGGTCGGGGCGAAGCCACAGGAAACTTTGCCAAGGGTTCTCCTCGCCGCCAGGGGTATTCAACCTATAGCAGAGACGCTGAATACGCTGTGAGACCCACCCTACCTTGTTAGAGACGCGGAGGCTCTCGAGGTCTTTACCCGTGAGGCCCGGAATCCCAAGAGGAAACGCGGGGCTCCGGAGAGCCGAGGGCATGCTGCTGGACAGGGGGGCCCGACGGGCCCTCGAGTAGCCGTTGCAGGGCGCCCCCAGGAAAACGAGTTTGACCAGACCAGAAGTCAGCCATCCCCGGAGGATCCTCCAGACCCCCGGGCGAGTCAAATCAAAATGGCTTCCGTGTTGGATGTCCCATTCTACCGCAGCCTCGCCTCTCTGCCTCAGATATTTGCTCAGAGCTCCACATCCTGAGAGGACTTTGATGCACACCCTTGTTTGATGGGGGGCGCTCCGAAATGCAGCCCCAAGGACCTGTTGAAGACGCCCACGAAGTCCCTGCCTGCTGCTCGGAGGGTTTCGCGCTGCAGGTCGCTGAGCTTGCGTAGTTCCAGCAGCAGGCGTCCGTGCTTCTCGTAGCGCAGCACGGACTTGAACGCCTTCCACCCTCCTAGCTGCTGCACGGTGCCTGAGCCTCTGCCGCCCGTGCTCTGGTCGTGGCTGGCCCCTCCATGCTGGAGGGAGCAAAGGGTGGCCTTGAGTAAGCTCACGCTCAGCGCAGAGGTCGCGTTCTGGAAGTCCTCCGCCAGTTGGTTGTAGCCCAAGACCAGGAAGAAGGCGTGGACCGGTTCCCGGAGGGCTCGCACAAGGAAGATCGGGTTCACCATCCACTGTTGCCTGGGCAGGTCGAGCCGAACTGAAAGGTCGTACTCGCGGGTCTTGGTTGGTATCTCGTACACTGAGGCCCACACCGCGACCGTCAAGAAGATCGATGCACCTCCTTCCCTTGGCAGCGGCAGGACTGCCTGCCTTGCTCGCAAAGCCAGAACTCTTGAAGGGCGCATGTAGGTCTCGAACCTGGTGAGAAAGGCCAAGCCACTGAGTGGCTTCCTTGCCCGGCACCGCCCGCAGGCCACCGCCAGCACCACCAAGAACGGGACGGGCGGTCTGGATTCGGACGGGTCCAGGACGTTCCAGCCCTTCAGCGTCTGGTGCGCCAGGGGGAAGACCTCGCGGATCCCGGCCCGGCGGAGGGCGGGCAACGCCCAGCGCAGCGCCGGGGCCAGCCGCTGAGATGACGCCTTGGAGACCCCGCGGTCGTAGATCGACTCGGCGTACTCTCCCAGCGTCTCGTCCCACGTGAGGCGCGCCCAGACCGGGAGGAAGGCCATATTCAGCCAGCGTACCGAGCCGAGGATCATCCCGAGGTAGGGCCCCTGCGTGCGAGGCCTGCGCTTGGCGGAAGCAGGCCGCAACTGGCGCCTCTTCTGGTTGAAGTCGCTCTCCGAGTGACTG